AGATGATAGATAGATAGATAGATAGATAGATAGATAGATTGATAGATAGATAGATAGATAGATAGATAGATAGATAGATAGATAGATAGATAGATAGATAGATAGATAGATAGATAGATAGATAGATAGATGATAGATAGATAGATAGATAGATAGATAGATAGATAGATAGATAGATAGATAGATAGATAGATAGATACATAGATAGATACATAGATAGATAGATAGATAGATAGATACATAGATCTGTAGTTATTGGGAATGCTTTTTATGATTTGAATGAAATAAGCTGACTGGGCTGTGTGTGTCTTCTTGGTCGTTGTTTGTTTTAGTTGATTGTTTTTGTGAAAGATACTTTATTTTTTTATCTGTATGTCCAACAGTAAGCTAGGAAGCTGTTTTATTAGCAGGAATTGAAGACATGGCTGGATGTAGATGTGAGACCACTTCCTTCAAGCATCAGTGATTTTCTGGAGGCCCCTGGTTTCCTTGGCGATCTAGCCTCTGGTCTAAACCAAACACAGCATCTTTTTTTAAAGCTAAGGAACAAGTGAGAAAGACGGCGTCTTTTCCAGACGTTTATGAAACAACTGTTGGTCCATGACTGAAAACCCACAGGATTATTGTTTTTTTTTTCCTATATGGCCGATAATGTACGAACTGAAGTGACGCATGACATCACTTTCCACTGTTATCTCTGCACGGAGGAGGAAAAAAACAGAGATGCAGATGGCAGTTTTGGGTTTGCAGCCTATCATTAGCCTGCAGCCATGGTTGGTTGCCATGGTTTGTTGTTTTCAACTCTGTCTGCCTGCCTCCCATATATAAGAAAATCACACAAATGAATTTTCCCGACGCACACATCAAACAGATAACCTGACCTCACATTCATTAAAGCAACCAGGCTTCAACTGTTTTACATACTGTTTAAATTGTGCGGTTACGCTTATATTTACAGTGTCAGATTTAGGATGAAAATATTCATAATTGTGTCCTTTTCACTACATTTTGTGGCCAAATTTAGAAACTCGTGATAAATATATATATATTTTCACACATTGCAACGGGGAGAGCAGCAAGTTTTTCAGCGTGTGCTTTATAGTCTAAGTGTAAAACGCATTAAGTTGGTGTCATTTGATGACCGTTTAAAAGCTCTTGTAATAATGTGAAACAAAGAGCCCACAGCCAGTTTTACAGAACAATGAAAGGCTGTCAGTGTCATGTAAAAGCCTGTGAGGTTATACTGCTGATTCTTAGTTGCAATCAGAAGCAATCCAGCAGAGGTGGACATGACTCAACAGTTTAAATGCATGGTCCCTAAAGTAGCTGCCACCCTACGACGCCTGGTAAAGACACAGAAACACCCAGCTGCATGAAAGACGAAGATGGATCTACGCCCTTTCTCAGCCTCTAGCTTCTTTGCAGCCGTTTTATGAGGAGCTCATCTGCAGCTGCACCACAGTCCTGACCACAAAGTGCTGCTGGGTCACGATGCTGCGGCGACGCTGCAGACCCGCTTTATGACATGCATGTCACATGTCTGCAGGCTCATACGAAGAGAACATGCATCATGCAGAAGTCCACATGAATGTTCAGATTGTGATGTAAACACCACTGTGCTGTCAGGAATAAATAGAATAAATGACAGAGATGGAGGACAGATGAGCAGCAGATTGGGTGTCCCAGAAGGATAAGTGGACTCGGTCACGTTTCAAACAAAAAACTGAAGTGCTGACGGGGCATTTCCACAGCCAATAGGTTCCTACTTGCTGAAAGGGTGGACTAAATGCAGGTCTGCTTTCTATATAATCCAGACTAAATTTACTCTCCCTAAACACGCACACACCCTGAAAACTGCACGCGCAGTGTACACCTGAATGGCTGGAGAGACAGCCAGGAGCCACTTAGCTAAAATTACAGCCTTTTATCACAGCTTTTATCTCATGAGCGAGTTTAGATGTTGAAACATGAACTCTCGAGTTTCTGGTTTGTTTTTTTACTTTTAGGTCTCATCCAGAAAGTTGCTGCAGAGATGCATAGCTGCTGATTCACTAAAACGAAGGTTAATTTTATTAGATTAGCTTCTTTTTGCAGGTAAAACTGACCTGAAAGATGTATTCACCAGGTCGCACGTCTGTGATGTCAATCCACTGACAGTCGATGTCATGGCGGTACGTGTCCCAGCAGCCAACAGAGATACCCTGATCTCCCATGTTGTAGCAGGCAAATCGCTTATGGAGACCTGGAACATGCATGGAAGCACGTAAAAGCAAAATAAACAAGGTTATTTGTAGATTTGTAATTTGGGTCCTAAATATCTACTGAAGAAAATCGAAACAGAAATCAGTAGGGGTTTTTCGTCAGATGGCACCATTTGGAGATGGAAAAATGTATTGCACCTTAAACCCCCTCCATATTTCTACAATCCTCTAGCTGGGCAACAGATCTAAAACACAACAGTTAATATTCCCATAAATCAGTCCAGGTATACGCTTTGGGACTGACATCTGCACGTAAGCGGATATCTAACACCATTGGCTTATTGGGAGCCTAAGTCACGCCCATCTACTTCCGCACCATGGGTCCCTGGAAGAACGAAAAAATGAATGCAAGTCAATGGGGCTAAAAACGCTATTTTCTAATTCCGCTTGTTTTGAGCCATGGATTTCACATATGATGTCCGAGAATTTTAAAGACACGTTTTGATACCAAAAACGCGCTTGTCTTCTAACAGGGGGAAACACTATTTTAGGTTTTGTGTGAAAATAAGTCCAGGACTACAAATGTGCTTCACGAAAGTGACATCATCGAAGCAGACATGAAGAAAACTGAGGGGAAAGAGTTGTAAATTCAGCAAACTTGCCACAGGAGGAAAGAACCACCATAAATCTGGTCATTTGGTAAGTAGCAGCTATGCTACGGGGGAGAGGAGATGTGGTAACGTCACACATGCGACGTGCCGATTTCTAGTTTGTAGTCATGCTGACTGCAGGTAAGACACTGACTTCTCATATCATCAACACTCGTTAACAAATCAGAACCCTTTCTTCAAGCGTTAGACCTCAAATAGCGCAGCAGTAGTTCTGGAGATAGAGCAGGTTGTCCAGTAATCGTAAAATTGTAGGTTCAATCCCAACTCCTGCCAGAGAATGCTGCTGTTGTGTCCTTGGGCAAGACACTTAACCTGGCTTGCCTGCTGGTGGTGGTCGGAGGGACCGGCGGCACCAGTGTTCGGCGGTCTCTCTTCCGTCAGTGCGTCCCAGGGCAGCTGTAGCTACGTTGTGGTTCATCATCACCAGCGTGTGAATGTGCGTGTGTGCATGTGTGTGTGAAAGGGTGGATGACTGATTGTGTTGTGAAGCGCCTTGGGGGGTTGTAGAACCCTTAAGGGTTCCATATACAAATACAGGCCATTTAAAGCTTTAGACTGCAGATGTTACATGTTAGTCAACCTATGTTTTCTTATATTTGATGCCGTCATAGCTCTGAAGTTGAAACTGTTTTAGGCACAAACAATCTTACCTTCGGGGCAGTAGGTGTCCTCCAAACAAAAGCTGGCTTTATGACCTTCTGCTACTTTCGTTCCATTGAGCGTGAGCAGATCATAGTGGGTGAACACCTCGATGCTGTGGTAGTGTCTGCACACAACAAGGAAGCAAAAGAACAAAGTCATGTAAGAAAAGAGAAAAAGTGTTTTATTTATTTATTTATTTTTTGTTCATCCTTCCACAAATCCTGTTTTGGTTGTCTGCAGGCTTCAGACAACAACTCCGAAAGTTCAGAAATGAAAATAAAAGTCCGGTGTTGTTCTTCCTAAATGCAGAGCCATTCCCTTTAAAGAAAAAAAAGCTACCAAAACTGAAAGTTAAACCATGTGTTTGCTGGTTGAGTAGGTGGTGGCTGGGTTGTGGCGGAGCTCCTTGTTCTGGTACATGAAACCACAACAGCTGAGATAAGAGGCCCTGCTGCTCTGACTGCAGCATGACTGGAACAACTGGGTTAACCAGAGAGGATGGTGTTTATTGTAAACTTCATCTCGGACTTGTGTTTATTGTGTTAAATAACAGACTTTTATAGAAAATATGCTATTTATAATCCACATTTTAGTAACAGAGTTATGTGCTTTAGTCGTGGATCATGTTTCACTTCCCAAATCTAAAGTAACCATTTAGCTTCAGCTGCAGGGATTTAATTTTCTGCTTCTTGTTGTCTGGTACGGATTAAAATTCACATTTATCTTTTGCCACGTTAGGATCAGTGTCCCCTTTCGTGTGGGACTACATGGCATTGTTATCGCCTTTTCATTGTCCTGACAAATTAGATATTGTTCCATTTTTACATGTAAATACCAGAAAAAACCCAAACCTTTCTATAAGCAGATGGTGAAGAAAGCAGAAAGGATCACTATTAAAGACCAAGTCTCAAAACACAAGCCAAGAGCAGGCTGACATTTAGCTTTTGCTTCTTTTCTTAAAGTAAACCTATATAAAAACCAGATAAACAGCAAACTGTAAGTTACAGTAGAAATGTATAATTAACTTGCAATAACATATGCATTTCTGCTGAAACTTTGATTTTAGAAAAAAGATAAATACAGATTAATGGTAACAGGTAGAAAGCATTTCTTACAAAAATGCATTTTCATCATGTTAAAGGCCTAATTTGAAAGATGCATAACAATATGAGTTTGCTATTTTTCCTGTTCATTAGATATTTGATTAGTTTTTGATTGGCTGCTTATAAACTGGTCAGGCAACTTTCTTTCTTGTCAAAAATTCCACATAAAAATGCAGTTTGTTGATTTTTTAATTTTTAAAATTTTTTTGGTGATGTTGGAATGAACTATATATTTTTACAGATGTCTAACATCTTAGGTGTGTTCTTGCTGTGTCGTATCTCTAATTCCATGCTGTCGTTCTTTTTTAATACACAGAGCAGTTTTGTTTACCTGTTTTCCCGCTACGTTTCGTTTGCGGCTGCAAACTTCCTTAGGCTGACGCTGATGGTGGCTCAGTGCTGTGGTTTACTCTAAAACCAGACTGAAATTTCTCTAGGACATTATGTGCAATACTAAAATCATTAAGCTGCATTAAAACAAGCTTTTCTAAAATTTTACTTAAGAATAGTAAGTTAGATATCGGTCTGAAGTTGTTAAAATCACTAAAATCTAAGTTTCTCTTCTTCAACAGGGGCCTCACCACTGCCCCTTTAAAGGCAGCAGGAAAGACCCCGGTTTGAAGAGAACAGTTCATCATGGTTAAAATCTCATCTCTAAAATATTCATAAAATGGCTTAAAAAATGAAGTAGGAACTGGATCTGAAAGGCATGTGGTGGGCCTCACTGAGGAGAAAACTGTATCTAGAGTTCCAGCCTCAACCAGGGCAAAACTGTCCAGTGTTTTCTCTGGTAACGGTACACACTCAGATTTCGATAAAACCATGTCACTGAGAGAGGGTAAAATGTTGCATCTGATTGTGTGTATTCCCTCTGAAGTGGTCTGCAAACTCATCACAGAGAGAGTTTGATGGTGTTTCCTGAGATGCATCAGTGTTGTTGTTAAAAACTTTATTGATGGTGGAAAACAGGATTTTAGGATTATTCTTATTTTCTGAGATAATTTTGGAGAAGTATGCATACCTTGAGTTCCTTACTGCGTTATTGTATGACTTTAGAGTTTCTCTGTATATCTGATAGTTTATAGTGATTTGATTCTTCCTCCATTTTCTCTCTGCCACCCTGCAGTTCCTCTTTTGGGTTCTGAGAGATTTGTTCCTCCATGGGAATGTTAGTCTAGGCTGTATCTTTTTAATTTTTTGTGGAGCCAGACGGTCAAGGGTGGACTGAAGCCTGCTGTTAAAATTGTTCACAATAAAATCACAGTGAACAGGTAAAGTAATTGGAGGAATCCTTTCTAAGGTATCAATAAAACCTGCAGCCACTTCAGGGGTTAGATGACGTTTCCTGACACTTCTCACAGAGGTCTCCCGCTGGGTGAAACCGGTGATATTAAAAAACACGCAACAGTGGTCAGAGACAGCCAAATCAACAACAGAGAGCACACGGGTAGACAAGCCATGCGTAATGACCAAGTCTAGGGTGTGCCCCCTGTTGTGAGTTGGCCGTGTGACGTGTTGGCTAAAATCCATTTAATTAAGAATATTTTAAAAATCGATCGACAAAGGGTCCAAAAGATTATCCACATGAAAATTAAAATCACCAGCTAAAATTATTGAAGGGTGTGTGTGTGTCACTATTATTTAGGTGTGGAGAAGACTTGGTTTTTACAATTCTTTTAGTTTTGTACTCAACAACACTGGTGGCATCCAATTTTTCCAAGTTGGAAGCTGGAACGCACGAGCTGAGCCAGCAGGCGAAGCTCTTGATTTACCGGTCGATCTACGTTCCTACCCTCACGAGCTTTGGGTAGTGACCGAAAGAACGAGATTTTGAATAAAAGTGGCTGAAATGAGTTTTCTCCACAGGGTGTCTGGGCTCTCCCTAGAGATAGAGTGAGAAGCTCGGTCATCCAGGAGAGGCTCAGAGTAGATCCGCTGTTCCTCATCAGAGACCAGGATTGGCTAAACCCAACCCTGGCCTTACAACAGGTCTATTGGAATTTAATACTTCTCATGGATTCTTGGAATACAAAAAATGTCTCATTCAATGTACACAACACTCCTAAAACAGCAGTTATGGGACAACTCTGTAGTAAACGTCTATTTGACAACCTGTTTTTAGTTTTACCTGTGACACTGGTGCCATGTCCAGCTTTCTCTGGTGGCTCTTGGTCTGAAGTCAGCAAGACCCATGTTCATGATGCGGGAGGAGAAGCGCAGCAGGCGACGGTGTCCGTAGGGCCAGTTCATCCTAGCAGCAGAGGACGACAGGCAGTTCTCCTCATTCGCACAGGTCAGCAGGTGGAGAGGTCGATCCTCCAGGTAGGCCGTCTCTTGGACGAGCTGAGCATCCACCACAAGGTCAGGAGCAGCTGCAGCGTTCAGAAGGTTCAGTTAAAACAATCTCCTGCTAATCATTTATTCTTTTAATCTTTTTTGTACTGCGTGGTGTGTGACTTCATTCCAACATTTCCAGTTGTAACATTCTAGCATAATTAGGCCAAACTGTGGCTGCTAATATCATCTAAAGTTTTCAAATTTTAGCCACTTATAAAGATAAAAGTTTGCAATTCTTGGCTAATGTTTGTCTTCCAACTTCAAGTTGAGATGAGTTAGTCACGTGTGTATGACGAAGTCACTCTTAAACTCCAAAAAGGTCAGTTTTTATTCATTTTCAGTCATCAAGTAACATCACAATGATTTAGAAAGTGTTTGATTTATTGCAACTGGCTGATGTGTAAATCAGACTTTTGGGTTATTTATCTGATTATTCGCTCAAAATAATCAATAACTTGTGTCCAGTTACTTAAATTTTCAGACAAACAAGATAGAATTTGATCACTTTTATGTTGTTATATTTTTAAGTAACAATCACATGTAGAGTTTTGGTACACACATTCACCCGGAGTCAAACATGAAACCATTTAAATACAAGCTGAGATGTTAGATCTCTTTGTCCATGTTTACATTTAATTTTAAAATCTGAACAGACAAACAGCCTCACGGCGTTAATCCACTAGTTCTTGCACACATCTGTAAACACATTTTAAAAAATGTCCTTGAATGATCACTGTGCAACACATGCGGGGGTGTTTACGGTTTCCAGACTCACTCTCCACACACGTGACTCCAGCAGCTCTTCCGTCTCCTCCTCTGGGACAGTAGACGTGAGCATTTCTGCGACACTGCTGGATGGACATCTCAGTGCCGACGCAGTGGGTCCCGCTCAACAACACCTCGCCGGCATCTGAAGAGCCCGGCCAGTACCAGGTCTCCTGCACAGAAACACAAGAACAGAATGAAAGCATACACCAAACCTGGAAAAAGGACTGAAAGCAAACACTTGTGGAAAAAGCAATAAGAAGACGTAAAAAGTATCAGAGCTGAGAGCATGCAGCAGTTTCTGCAGTAAACTGCAGTAAACACCAAAACCCATTCTTTATAGGCACTATCAGTATGCATTATCACATTTTCCACTCCTTTTTCACAATTTTAAAACGGCTTGTTAAATTTTCCCAGCCACCATTGCCCCCTACCTCCCCTCCAAGCACACTCAATTTGCCTTTTCCATGCACTGTTCTATTTTCAGTATGATTGCTCTGTGAATTTCCCCCGATCTCTCTTCGCCTCACTTTCCCTCTTTTATTTTTGGTGCAGTGGAAGTGGACGTTTGAGAAGCCTGTAATTGCTTCAGGCCTCGATAATAACACAGCAGTCATACAAACACCAGGGTAGAGAGAGAGAGAGAGAGAGAGAGAGAGAGAGAGAGAGAGAGAGAGAGAGAGAGAGAGAGAGAGAGAGAGAGAGAGAGAGAGAGAGAGAGAGAGAGAGAGAGAGAGAGAGAGAGAGAGAGAGAGAGAGAGAGAGAGAGAGAGAGAGAGAGAGAGAGAGAGAGAGAGAGAGAGGAGGAAACACAAGAGCACAAAGAACAATAGTTCAGAATCAGAAAGAGAATCATGATGCAATTTCTGCATCATTTACCTGATGAGCTCTGGCGGCAAATCCCAAACCCAGCTGTCGACAGACCACCATGGCTTCATTCAGGCCCCAGTTCTCACTGCAGACGGACCCCCAACGCTTCACTCCTCCAACCTCCATCAGCACCTCCACACGACCCTCTCCAGGATCTCTGCCACCTGCCAGGCGCACCTACATGGCAGGGTGGGAAAAAAAAAGTTGTCAATGAAAAAATACTTTTTTATTATCATATAGAAGCACGTTTTTGTGAATATCTTACCGTAGCCTTTAAGCCAGTGTTTGGGACGTTGCAGCGGACCGCTACGTCTTGGGTATGTTTACAGGTGTAAAGTGGTACTGGTCTGTATTCACACTTAGTTATGGACATCTCTCTTCCTTTGCACTGGACACTGTTCATGTGGATGGGACCAGTACCTACAGGGGTTAAGGATGTGCCTCATTAGCCTCGTCCATAGAGGTATACTCTCATATAAAAGAGTCTTAAACCTGATGGCTCTGTAGCCCAGATGTGATCTGAGCGTCTGATGTGGCTCTGAAATGGAGCTTACCAAGAGAACACTCTGCTTTATGGACCAAAATAGATTCAAATTTGCAAATGGTAGAAATAAGGTTTCAAAAGATCTGTTTGGGTAGGTGTATGAGGCCCCAGCAGAAGCCCTTTAAAGCCCTATAATTTGGCCTTAAATAGCTAATGATGTCATTGCGCTCAGTGTCAAGACGTCTCCCCTGACTACGCAGCGGATAAGTCATGAAGGATGTTGAACCATTTCTAACACTCAGTGATTTCTACTCCAGCCATGTCACCAAGTTTAATCCGGCCCTAAAGCCACACTTAGATGCTTTCCATGAATTATTTAATTAGGAAAAGTAGAGCGGAAGAAACACACTGAGCATTAAAGATCACGCTAAGTGCTCATTTGGGCGGAAAGATAATGGGAGGAAATGCACGTGATTACAGAGTGAATGCTGAGGTATGGCAAGACAAAAAAAGGACAAGTGAGTGCGAGAGAGTATAGGGTCTATGCTGTTCTGGAGGAAAACTCCACTTTTGCCACTTCAGTGGCCAAACTTTCTTGCCCACAACAAAACAAGACCATCACAATTACATCTGAATGCTTGCTGATTGCCTGACAACCCCATTTCAAAGCCGAGCAAACTGTTCTCATTCAACAAGTTTATTTTGGCAACAACAAATTCCCTTCATTTGGTGGCCTGACCCTCCTAGCTTAGTTTACACTTGTATAATTGGTCATGGGTAGAATTCCTCAACAATCAGCTTCTGTGATAGAAGCAGACGTCAGACTGTAAGCATTTTCTTTGGGTTTATTTGTTTGCTAACGTCCGTGGAGTTGGAGTGATGTCTTTGGTAACAGCCATTTAAACTGAGAAGTGTTTAGTCTAAAAGGAATGACTGAGTTCAACTAATCATACTCTGTGTGCTCAGTGAACTTGGGCTTCCCTTTTATGTCTGTAATGTTTAGCAAATAACTGCTTATCATATTAGTTTTGGTGGTTTTGGACTAGAGGTTTATTCATTTTTGTGGTCTCTAGCACTTGTGAGTTGTTCTCTGTGAAAAAGAAGCTCTGGCACTCCTGTTTCAAGAGGTAGTTAGCTTGTGGAGAATGTGGTAGAATTTCGAGTTGCATGAGTATTCATGAAATTCAAACATCTCGCCTCTGATTGGCTAACAACATAACTCTTCCACAGCCTCCATTTGCTTTGAACATTGATTTATTTGTCTCGACAAATAACACAAGCCTGAAGGTGTTCTGCCATAGGGAGTTGCTAATGCTAACCATTAGCTTCTTACTAGTTAAAAAGTGCTTTTTTTTTAGCTAAAAAGTGCTCTGCTGTCCAGATGCTAAACCAACAACATTCTTCCCTTTATCACACAACACGGGTGAGTCTGTGAATGTAAAATTTCAGTGTGGCATTGATCTGTGTGGCTTTTTCTGACCCGAGTGCTTCTCCATCTATTTTCTTTTAGTGGATAATCCAGGAAATAGCATACACATGAAAATCAGCGTAACTGATCGTATTCCAAAAAGAACAAGTATATATGTTTTTCTGTTTACTTCACCTTTAAACGTTTAGCAGTCTTCCACATTTACCTTTCAAAACCTAATGAGATGAAATGTGATGTAATCACAGAAGCATTTTAAGTACAAGTCCTGGCTTACCCTGGCCCAATTGAGCCCTGGTGAGAGCCTCTTTAGCCGTCCCAAAACCCAGCTCCCTGCAGACCACGCTAGCAGCATTCAGGTCCCACAGGTGGTCACAGACTGTTCCCCACTTTCCTTCTTTCAAAACTTCAACACGGCCCTCTCCAAGACGAGGTCCGGCCTTAAGGCGAACGACAGGCTGGAAGGAACCGTTTTCAAGTCATTAAACTGATGAAAAATAAAACTGTATCCATTAATCATAGTTTTAAAATTGATTTATTTTTAAACAATTCACTGTCTGGGTTGTACTTCAGTATTTGCTTTTAGTAAAGTTCAGTGCAGGCCTCAGTTATGGTACTCAGTCTTTGTTCCATTTTTCATTACAAATTTTCCAACTCCCTCAAAACTTTTTAAAATGTATGTTAATATAATTAAAGAGGAGCTGTTTGGTAAGAGTCTTACAAATATAAAGTTCAACCCCCCCCAAAAAAAATAAAAATTCTCCTATGAAATGGTTTTTGCACAAACCGGCACAGCAGGTGGAGCAGGCGCTCTGCCATAGCGAGAGAAATGGAATCCAGGGACGCAGTTGACCACTGCGTGCATTCCACCCCGGCATGGGACATCACTCCTGGGGAGGGACAACTGCGCCTGACACTGGGACAAAGACACCTCCACACCTTGACATTGCACCTTCTCCACCCAGTAGGCCTTCTTATTGATCAGGGCACTCAGCCTGGAAAGGGAACGAAGTAGACAGAATGGTAAAAGGAAAGAATGTGACTGAATTTAGACGATATTCTATCATTTAAAAAGCGGGTTTTACCTCGATGAAGGATCAGCTAACTTGGAATCCCAAAGTTTTCTGGAAAAAAAAGAAAGCCATGTTTTCCCCAAGCAACTGAACAGTTTAACACTGAGATAATTCAGTACCTTTCCACGGCCTATTGTCACACCAACACTTTTATACTCAAAACCCTTCTCCCATCCATCAAACTTTAGCTTAAAAAAGTGAAAATACCAATTTAAAGGAGGGAATAACATAAAATAGTCTCTATGTTTGGTTATTTTTATCCTAATCTTGAATGTCCTCTTTTCCTTGTTTCTTTTTCACCCTCAAACCATCCGCTCACTTTCATTTGATTTTTTTTTTTAACTTCCTGTTCTACCATCGGGGGTAATTCTGCTTCTATCCACAAAGTCTATAGTGGAAGTCTGGTGTGTAGAAAAAACATTAAAAGTATGAATAGATCACTATGTGTCAATTTCTTTAAGAAAGACCTTGTTGAGGTCTGCCAACTCCAACAGGATTCTCTGAACTGTCAAAATGAAGTAGTGTCATTTCTTTATTTGGCAAATGTCTGAGGTTAGACAGGCTTGTGGGAAATGTTGGGGCCAACAGAAAAAGTTTCCAAACAGGAACTACTTTATTATCTTTGGGTTGAACTTAACAGTTAATGACTTATGACCAATTGTGGAACTTTTTACATTATAAATCATCCGGTGGTGTAAAGGCAAACGCATTTCTTCAAAATGTCTTCCGCAACAACTTAAAATATCAAATTTAACCAATTGTTTTTATAAACAGTCAGTAAACATGGTGGGAACATTCTCAATTACCAGTGAATTTAGTTTGGTTGGGAAATTAGATTATGGGTTTGCATTGAGTGCATTTACATGCAGCCAGTAACCCTTTTAAAACCCGAATATTCACAATAACCCAGTTCCACACGGCCATGCAAACACCGCTAAAAACCTGGATATGCTCATAACCGGGTTTTTAAAAACGCGGTTACTACACCTGGGGTAACTCTTTTCTAACCCAAATGTTTGGTTGTGTAAACGCATACCGGGATATCCCCATCAAAGCGTGTGTTCTGCGCATGCTCTGTTTGCAAGGAATCTTGGTCTTTTGAGTAGCGAGACGTCTTGTATGCGCCAGAACACCGGGAAGTAAACAACAAGTTGGGAGCAACATGGCGAGTCGCGGCACAGCACCACACTTTTGGAGTGACGAGGAAACCTCTGTCTTCATCGGTCTGGTGAAAAGTATGAACATTATGTCTTTTGTTGACGGCCGAAAGTACAGAGACATGGGAAACATGTTGTTGTTTTCACGGATACCGGAACAAGAAGAACCGTAAATGACACATATTGCGTCTTGACGTAGTCCATACGTCCTGACGCTACCCCAACGTCCGCATTTAAATCGGGTTATGCAAGTTAGGGGTAACTCTTTCTATTTATGCTTGTAAACGGGTTATTCTGATCAACTCAGAAACTCGAATACCGACCTTAACCCGATCATAACCCGGATATTGGCTGCATGTAAACGTAGTCAATGTTTCTATAAGTAAAAAATACTAACAGCTTATAACTTGCTCTGTGGGATGGGAAGTGAAACAAAATGTTATAATGTAATAACTTTATGACCATTTGGCTTTGTTGATGCTTTTAAGACTGTTACATCATTCTATGTCAATGGATAAATGTATGATATTATCAGATAGTCAGTATGGCTTTAGATCTAATAGATCAACTTCATTAGCATTAATGGACACTATTGAGGAACTCACAAATGCAATAGATCGTAAACATTTTGCTGTAGGAATTTTTTTGGATCTTCAGAAGGCCTTTGACACAATTGATCATAGCATTTTAATTAACAAATTAGAACGGTATAGGATTAGGGGGACTGTTTTGAAGTGGTTAACAAGTTATTTGAGCCACAGGAAGCAATTTGTGAAAGTGGGACAGTTTTCGTCAACATACTTGGACATTGCTTGTGGTGTTCCACAGGGTTCAGTATTGGGTCCAAAGTTATTTATTCTATATATTAATGACATTTGTAAGGTTTCAGAAATATTAAAGTTTGTAATGTTTGCTGATGACACAAATATTTTTTGTTCAGGGGAAAAATTAAACGAACTAATGGAAATACTTTCTGCAGAAATGTTTCAAGTAAAAAAAATGGTTTGATATAAAATAAATTATCATTGAATTTAAGTAAAAACGAAATACATGTTATTTGGGAATAACAAAGTAAACACCCAAATTGTGATGAATATTGATGGTGTAACTATTGAAAGGGTGAATCATTATAAATTTCTGGGTGTTATAATGAATGATAAAATTAGTTGGAAACAACAAATAAAACATATTCACAACAAAACTGTAAGAAGTATTTCCATATTAAATAAAGTGAAACATTTCCTGGATCGCAATATACTTCACATGTTATACTGTGCACTGGTGCAACCATATTTAAATTATTGTGCAGAGGTCTGGGGCAACACTTATAAAACTAGGGGCAGCAGTAGCTCAGGTGGTAGAGTGGGTTGCCTCATGATCGGAGGGTCATGGGTTTGATTCCAGCTCCCGCCAGGGGTATCCTGCTGTTGTGTCCTTGGGCAAGACACTTCACCCAACTTGCCTGTGTTAGTGGTGGTCAGAGGGGCCGATGGCGCCAAATGGCAGCCTTGCCTCTGTCAGACCTCCCCAGGGCGGCTGTGGCTACAAGTAGTTTACCATCACTAGCAGTGTGTGAATGTGAGAGTGTGTGAAAGCGTCTTTGGGTGTCTAGAAAAGCGCTATATAAGTTCAATGCATTATTATTATTATTATTATTACATTATCACCAATAATAATATTACAGAAGAAAGCCATCAGGATTATTAATAAAGTGGGCTACAGAGATCATACTAACAACCTGTTTTTGAAATCACGAGTATTAAAGTTTACTGACCTTGTTCAATTCTTGACATTACAAATAATGTATAAAGCTAATGACAAACTACTCCCTGGTAATATACAAAAGTATTTCTTATATAGAGATAAACAATATAATTTGAGAGAGGAACGGAATTTAAAATACCCGTCTGTGCGAACAACAGTTAAAAAGTCAGTGCATCTCTGTTTGTGGGGTAAAATTATGGAATGGGTTAAATAGTGATTTAAAGCTATGCCCAAGTATGACCCAATTTAGAAAGTGGTATAAAAACATGGTCTTCATGAGGTACAGGGAGGAAGAGAGATTTTCACTCAAAAAGATCCAAAGAGTTATGTGAGGGTGTAAGTGTACAAAAGAAAATGGGGTGTGTTGTAATTATGTGTAGTAGGGAATGTTAATCGCTGTGTGTGGTGGTTAAATGGAAAAGGTATGTGGAACTATTTTGCATGGACCATTTGATGAATATAGAAAATTTATGATGAATTAGGAGAACAACATTGTTCCTTTTGATCTTGAACAAATGGGAAAAGGGGGGTAGGATTTAATAAGCACTAGCTTCCTCCTACTCCTTTTCGAACAGAATATGATAATGAAATTTTTGTGTGATTATCAGTGTGATTTTATTTTTAATGTCTACAATGACTTTGTTATTACTATTATTGTTATAATAGTTATTTTTATTCTTATTATAATGTTCGAAATAAAGATTTCATTCATTCATTCATTCATTCATTCATTCATTCATTCATTCATTCATAACCCTAATCCTAACCTTAGAGGCTACAATATGTTTGGTTTGAAGGAGTCCTAAATTATTTCCAGAAAACTCCAAAATAGCTTTTATGAATAGTAAGTGTAGGGATGGACAATATATTGGCATCAATATTGGTATCGGCCAATGTTAGTCATTTTTTAACATATCGGTATTGGTTCGATAAATAAAACCGGGCTGACATTAACAACCGATGTTTTTTTTTCCATCTCGTCTCTGTTTGTTTTCCTGTTTCAGAGGGTGAGGGGGGTGATGTGTGATTGTTTAGTCATGTGAACAGTGAATGTAATCTTCTCAGAACCCTAAATTTGTGTGGTGTGAATACATAATAACGTAAATTCAGCTTTAATAATTTTAATTCTATACAAAATCTGATGATTTTAGAAGCCTTAATGTCAGTATATCAGTTATCGGCCATAACAGTGATCTTAATATTGGATATTGGTATCGGCCCAAAAATTTCATATCGGTACATCACTAATGTAAACATTTACATTTTGTAGTATTTACACAATCAAGCCCTCCTAAGCTTTGCTTCCTGATTAGTAAAGTACCTTGCATATTTCCTGAGTTAGAAAAGACACATTAAACCACTTAAGCTGTATGAATTTGTCCATTTGAATATGGCTTGTGCAAGTAAGTCAACCATGTGTTTGCACCATTTAAAGTCTGACATAAAGCAACAGTAAATCAAAATGAGAGAGAAAGACAGTGTGGGGGTGTTGCTTCATGGTTTGAAGGCGGGGAAAGTAGGGTGAGAGTGCTACCCAAATAATTGCCTGCTCCGCTTGGCAGTGTCTGCTTTGTGGTCCAGCAGTAGCATGTTGGTTCACACACACCAGACATGCAAATACGCACGTACATATCTGCTCTCCCTGCCTTCGCTTTGCAGGAACTGGCTCTTCAAAGCCAATATTGTTACAAAACCTTAGGAGTGCATGCTGAGAAAACACAACACAAGAGATGTAAAGCTGAAGTTTTTATGCGTGTGGAATAACTTTGAGGGCAGGGGAAAGGCATGTCATTTTGGTTTCCGGATACGTTTCTGTTTTGTACTTGTGAGCTAAACGTTTAGAGTGAGATGCTCTCTAACCGGCTGAGAAGAGATTAAAACTGATTTACGGCTCTTGCTTTCTTATTTAAGAGATTTAAAAGTGAGTTTGCAGACCACAGCAAAGAGGCTGTGATCACAGAACTATAAAATATTTTAAAACAGGAAAAAACTCTTATTTCACTGGATCTTCGGCTTCATGTGATGCAGTTCTGACAGCACAATACCAGAAGCCACAGTGGAAAGAAACTCAGGCAAAGATAACCTGTTATTATAGGCTGCTGTGTGAATGCAACGCTGCTAGACTACATG